CATAGATTAAGTATCAGAGGCATAGAGAGGTAAAATACCTTGAGGAGTCACGCAGCCAGAGCCATGATCGACACCCACGTCATCTGGCTCTTGAGCCCATATTCTTAGGGGCTATGCTATGAAATGATTTGCTATATAAAACCAAGTATTTAATTAGTAATAAAACTTACAACATTTTGGAGTATAAATTTTACCACTACAGATCTGAAATGAAGATAGATAAAAATTTGCAGAAACAATATGGACAAATAAGGGAGGCAGAAAATGGTACATTATGCTTGCAAGTGAACATGGGGATTAATGAGAGTGAGTATTTGGAAATTGTAATGAAACCATGTGTCCCTCCCCACTGATGATCTGCATACCCCTGGTAGTGAACTACTGCTTTAGTAAACATTCTTCCTTACTACACCTGCTATGTATGATTCCAGGCAAGGCAGGCCCTTGGGGAATGTTGGTATCTGCTATAACTTGGTTTTTTTTACTCCTCCAAACCTCTGGTTGAAATTTGATTCTCAGTGTTGGAAGTAGGGCTTATTGGGAGACATTTGGGTCATGGGGGTAAATCCCTTATGAATGGCTTGGTGCTATCTTCATGGTAATGAATGAGTCCTCACTCTCTTAGTTTCTGGGAGAGCCGATTTGTGAATGTGGCCTCTCCTTCTTCTCTCTTCTTGCTTTTTCTCTTACCATGTGATCTCTGCACAGCTGGGTCCCCTTTGCCCTCTCTGAGTAGAAATAGCCTGAAACCCTCCCCGGAAACAGACACCATCGCCATGCTTCTTGTACAACCTGCAGAACTATGAGGCAAATAAACTTCTTTTTTTTTTTTTTTTTTTTTGAGATGGAGTCTCACTCTGTTGCCCAGGCTGGAGTGCAGTGGCACAATCTTTGCTCACTGCAACCTCTGCCTCCTGGGTTCAAGCAATTTTCCAGCCTCAGCCTACCGAGTAGCTGGGATTACAGGTGTGTGCCACTATGCCCGGCTATAAACTTCTTTGTAAAATAAATTACCTAGGCCAGGCGCAGTGGCTCACCCCTGTAATCCCAGCACTTTGGGAGGCTGAGGTGTGCAGATCACTTGAGGTCAGGAGTTTGAGACCAGCCTGGCCAACTTGGTGAAATCCTGTCTCTACTAAAAATACAAAAATTAGCTGAGGGTGGTGGTGGGCACTTGTAATTCCAGCTACTCAGGAGGCCGAAGCAGGAAGATCGTGTGAGCCAAGATCCTGCCACTGCACTCCAGCCTGGGTGACAGCCAGACTCTGTCTCAAAAATAAATAAAATAAAATAAAATACTCAGCCTCAGATATTCCTTTATAGCAACACAAATGGACTAAGACAGTGCCTGATTGGAAACTTCATAGTTCTTTCACTCACTTAACACCCATTTTTTCAGAACCCATCCCTAAATGCTCACAGACTTTTAAGGGAGACAAACATATCAACAAATAATTACAACACAGTAAAATAAAAAATAGAGGCATGTGCAAGATATACAGTGGATATACTGAGATGAAGAATAATGTGGTGGGGGAAGGAGTGTTAGGGAGAGAAGGGTACCCTAGAACTTTCCCTAAAGAGGAAGTATTTGGATTAAGTTCTCCAGGAAGACAAGGAATAGGGAGGGACATTCCGAACAGAGAGAGCAGCATGTGCAAAGATTCGTAGATGTGAAACAGGATAATGTGTTCAAGGAAATGCAAATCCCTTCGTATTATGGGGATGTAGGTGCAGGGAAGGACGAGAATTGATGACAAGGGTTGAGCAGGCAGAGACTAGAAAAATATGAAGGAATTTGGAGCTTTACTGGAGGGAATAGTGAACCAATAAATAGTTGGAAGCAGGAATGACACAGTGAATTTAGTGTTCAAGCAAATTGAACTCCAACTTCTTGCAATTGATTATCACACATAAGGAATGTATTAAAAAGTAATTAAACATATGAGATTTTTGTATCTCTGAAGTGGCCATTTGCAGTGGGCATATGTTTTTTATGCCTACCCAGCATCCATTCTTTTTTTTTCCTTTCTTTTTTTTTGTAATAGCACCTGATTTTCCTCTGGGGACTTACCTACCTCCAATGAAATAATGGCACTATGAAATAAATTGTCTTACCCTTCTTGGCTGAGGGTTCAGCAAGAGAGCTAAGCAAAAGTCCTCCAACTCCTTCAGAAATCTAAATTTTGTGAGGGGTGACTCAAGGATAGGACAAGATTAGATTTGATCCTTCTAGTATCAGCACCTCGAGAGGATGGTGCTGCACTTTCAGGTACCCAGGTTACCAAAGTTATTGCCTCTGATTCCCTGAATTTCCCCATAATCTTCCAGTAAATTTCATGTGTGCTTGAGGTAACAAATTCTGCTCAAATCAGGTGCAGTTTGCTTCTAAGCTAAGAACCTTAATTTGTGTATCCCCTGGGGAGGATGATCAGCTTACTTTTATCTGCTGAAAATTTGTCCTGAGGTTGTTGTACTCCTATCAGCCTAGACACAGCAGGCAGCCTGTCTCTCTCTGAGTCTTGGTGCTGAACCAGTGTGCTGGCAAGGAATGGGCTCACATTTGCTTTGCTCTCAGAACCTGTAGACCTTCTTTATGCTCCTTCTCTTCTCCCCTCAGCTACCAACCTGGAACAGGAGGAACCTCTACTTGTGAAAGTCCTTTTCACTTTATATTTCTGATCATGACATTTTTTTTTTAATGTTTAGTGTAGAAACATCTCCTTCACAAAAGCACTTATGTTATCCTAAGACTTTGGAAGAATAATGAAAAAGACCCGCAGGCCTCTTCTGCTTCCCATCCTGCCCCAAAGCTACTCAGAGACCATAAACACATAATTATCTATGTGCTTGAATGTTGGAGAGTGGGAGGTGCAGGTTGAAGATGGAACAAAAATGAAGACACAAGGGAAGAAAATAAAGCGAGTTAACAATTCACAATACCTCGGTAGCTTAGTAATAAAAATAATGGTGCCTTTCAATGTATCTTTATTGTCATTCTTTATAATTGTTTTATTTGTTTTTATATTTTGTTTTATATTTTACTCACAGATGGAGAGTATAAATTTACTACTCAATGTATTGGGTTGCTTTCCTGGGTCACTGTAATATCAGCAACGATGATGGTTGTATGTGAAGATGAACAATCTTCATGCATTTTCCAAATCATCTGAAAGAGCTCTCAGAAGCCACACTTCCCATCAGAATGTTTGAGACACAGCCTGTCCATCTTCAACACTGGCTTTTCAGTCACTGGCTAGGTGTTATTTAGTTATCTTTTTCATGCATACCTTCGATTTCTGGCATGCAAAGCTTTCTGTATGCTTTTATGTAATGTGAATCCAGATGGTGGATTGTATGTGGGTGCAATAAATGACTGAATGTTTTAACATGTTTCTTGGCTGGAATTTATAATGGTAGAGTTTCTTTCCTAAGCCTCCATGTCTGCCACATTCTTCAATGATATTCACCAGGTTACATAGATGTTCTGATAGAACCAGGGATCAAGAAAGCTAAAATGGTTCTTCCTCTAATCTTGATCACACTCTCTTTCCCCCTCCTCACCTAATTTATTTCTCTGCCACAGAAACTTGGAACTTTGTAGTTCAGAGAAGACTGAGGCAAAGAAGAAGAATAATGGCACTGAAAGGAAGGGAAAGCCAGTAAAGGAAGTAGGAGAGAGAACTGAAAATTTGAAACAGAAGGTGGAATCAATTCCCTTAAAATACTTTTAAATATTCAAAAGCAAAGGATTAGAGTTAGTCAACAATGACAACAAAATATTAAAAAAGGGGCACTTATGCCTGCTGTCCTTATACATCTGCACCCCCGTTTCCCTATCCATTTTTCCTTCTCGAGACATTCTGGTACATGATGTTTCAGTTGTGTGTTACAGGCCACTTCACAAAAGCTACAATGGTCTTTAATATTATTTTAATACGCATCTTACAGCTATTGCTCCTTATTGCAGTATTTGGATTCCTCTAATTAAACAGAGAACTGCTTCAAGCTGCTTTGTCATGCAGGGGACTCCTTGAGAGGATAACCAAAGATGGGAATCAAGATTTGGACACACCTCTTACTACTATCCTCATGATGGAGGTAGCTTATATTCTGGACCCCATAGAACTACTTTCTATTTTTGTTCATGTTTGTAGTTTACTTTCTGTGATTTCTTTCTGGAGAAGAAGTCTCACTCTGTCACCCAGGTTGGAGTGGAGTGGTTCGATGACGGCTCACTGAAGCCTTGGTCTCCTGGGCTCAGGCAATCCTTCTGCCTCAGCCTCTTCTGTCTCATTGTGGCATATGCCACCATGCGTGGCTAAATTTTTTTTTCTTTAAAAGACTGGTTTTCCCAGTGTTACTCAGGCTGGTCTCAGACTCCTGGGTTCAAGCTGATCCTCTCATCTTGGCCTCCCAATGTGCTGGGATTACAGGTGCGAGCCACCCACTCCTGGCCTGTGATATCTTTTTACCAGTATATCCATGGTAGTATTTGAAAACTTGTGTTTGGCTTTGGCTGTTTTCTTTGGGTATGAATGTAGCTGGTAGTAATATAAATGGTAGTTTGCTTAACTGATGGCAAATAAAACCAATTTCATTCCTTTTATTATAGGTTTGCCTTCTAAGTGGAAGCTACCTTGAGATGAATTTAGCATTATTTATGCTAGCAAATGCTTGTGTCATTCTGATGTTTCTTTATTCCCTCTCTCTTTTTTTGATTTCCTGATAAAATAATAAATCCCTTTCTTCTTTCATTCAGTTGGCTTAGAAAGAGAGCATGAAAGATGACTTCATCCATTTTTTTCATTGGAGATTTGCTTTATTAATGACCCGGACTTTGATGGCCACATTTCTGCATTTGCTACCATTCCTTGATGCTATAGTGGATTTCTCTCATAATCTCTTATCCTTTTAACTTCACTTCCCAGAGGCAAACGGCTTGCTTTGTACCTGACTGCATTATGAAACATCTGTTTGTCTGTCCCACCCCTCCTCAGGCTGCACCACCCAGGACACTATGAAAATGAAGTTGCCACTGACTGGAGGTCAGCAGTCCTGCATTGGATCCAGATGAATGTACAGCAGCATGGAACCCCCAAGGCTATGCTCTAGAGGGTCATCTCTGAACCTCCTTGAAGTAAGTGTTCAGCCAGGTTATTTATTCCTTTAGTGTTGGTTTTTGAAATGCTACTTTATTGGGTCTTGAAAAATTTGATGCTTGGCATAGAGGCACGAGGTTTCTAAATGTAGGACTTCACTGAATGAGGGTGATCACTACCAGGCTGTCCCTTCTTTTCTGTTTATAAGAGCCTCTTTCTCTTTTGTTATTTATTTATTTATTGAGATAGAGTCTCACCCTGTTGCCCAGGCTGGAGTGCAATGGTGCAATCTTAGATCACTGCAACTTCCGCCTCCTGGGTTCAAACGATTCTCTTGCCTCAGCCTTCCCAGTAGCTGGGACTACAGGTGCCCACTATCACACCCAGTTAATTTTTGTATTTTTAGTGGAGATGGGTTTTCACCATGTTGGCCAGGCTGATCTCAAGCTCCCGACCTTGTGATCCACCTGCCTCGGCCTCCAAAAGTGCTGGGATTACAGTTGTGAGCCACCCCACCTGGCCTTGTTATTTTTTACTCTGTGCCTTCAGAGAAATACTTCCTAGGAATTATCTTATTTTATTTTGCAACAGGCTGCCAAAAATGAAAAAGAGACTTGACAGGAAATGGAGGTAAAATTCAAGGATTAATTAAATTCATACATTTTGTCTTAGAGTCTATATGGCTCATAGGCAATCTGCATAATTTGTCTGATTCTCACAGATTATCCCAAATATTATTTATTATTCATTTAACAAAGATTTATTAAATTAAGCACTTTGAAAATAAAGAGGGAGAGATTTCAACTAGAAGGTGAGCTCCATTGAGCACAGGATTTTTGTTTATTTTGTTCACTCCTCTATTCCTAGTACTCAAAACACTGCCTGGCACATAGGTGGTACTCAGTAAATATTTGCTGATGAATAAATGTATGAATACTAGTTTGATTTTAAAATATTCATTTTAGAATAAGAGGTGTGTTATGTACACTGGATGTAGGATTGTGAATATAATAAAGCCTATCAATTAGAAAAGGGCCCTAGGAAGACTTGACATACAAGGGTCAGAGGAGATACTCTCCTTTGTGTTCAGAGTAGGCAGCTATTTTATGGTTCAGATTGTTTTGCCTCAAAGGAAAAATGTGGTTAAATTTATCTTTTTCATTTTTACTTCTATTTAGAAGGAAAAAAGAGTCTTATCTATTAAAACAATGAATTAGCTCTATTTATTAGTCTTTCTGAGTTTATTTGATGCCTGTGTCTAAGGAACCTAAGGCATTGACCAGGTAGTCTTATTAAACCTCACAGCTCAGCATGGAAGTTGTGAGCAGAGCCAGCTCTTGGGGTATGCAGTGTGTACTTCTGCCTAGAGTTCCTATGGCAGTGCCAAGCCAACTCTCACTAGAATTTCTGTTTTTGAATTTTGTATTTGCTGTTCCTCTATTTCTGTATGCTTCTTAGAGCTATCAGTAAAGAGATGGAGAATTAAAGATGGAGACCTGCAATGCTGCTGAAGGACTTGGCTGGCACCCTCCCTCACCCACCTTCTTTCCTGTCTACCTAGCTCTGAACATCTTTTTCCTCCTTTGCTCCTCCATGCCAAAGTCAAAGTGGGCACCAAATGCAGACTTGGCCAGGTGCACTCCCCAGGTGGGGAGGACGCCATCACCTCTCTTTTGTTGTCTCAGGAGTCACAACTTCAGAGTGACCTTTTGGAAGTTAGGCTGTGTCTAAGGTAGTAAGAACAGAAGTTCTATCTGAGGCTTTAGCCATTATACTTTGCTATAAATAGCATGTAACATAGCCTGATACTTTTATGTTGCAGTTGAAGTGTTATGGGATTTTATAAGAACTTAAATCCAGCACATAAGTCTCTCTCAGATCAGCCAGGCTTTGTGTTTTTTTCTTTTGTAACTCATTCTGAGTTGTTCTGAGACAAACACTGCTAAACTAGCTGGGTAGAAACGACACTGTGGTATAGCGGGAAGACCCCAAGAAGGCAAATCAGGGCTCATTCTAGATTGGACTTGGTTGCCAACTAGCTTTTTATCTGCTGTGAATCAAAATTCTGGGCCTCACTTTCTTGGTTTATAAACTAAGAGAATTTCATGAAATGAACTATAGCACTACTTTCAGCTCTAATCTATTTAGGCTCAAGACCTGTTGCCCCTTCTTTCTATCAGTTTGAATAATGGAGTATAAAGAGTTAAAAAGAATCCTAACATTGGCTAAGTAAATGTTAGTTAAATCTGGGTTAAATTGAATATAGCCAACCCACTCAGTTAATATAGGAGGGAACTACATAAGCACAGAAAAATCCAGTTACTTGCTTAGGTCACACAACTAATTCATGGCAGAAACCTGATGTTTAACCAAAATCGTGAGTTTTCTTCTCAGAGAAACTCCCCTCATTACCTTTTGGTGGTCATTGTGGGTGTGGAAGAAGCAGCAGTTTTCACAAAAATGTTAAATTCTTATTTCTGCTAAGTTGGTTAGCATTGCCTGTTATGACAATCCCTGAATATCTTGTGCCAAAATGCTGCTGGCTGTTGTGCAGAGACATGTGTTGGTTGCTTTAGAATTATGCACAGACCAGAAACTCCTAGAGAAAAAAGTCCACCCCCTTTTAAATCACTCTCTTTAATTCTTTTTTCTGACTTAACTTTTAAAATCATGCAGGTTGTTCAAATAGTAGAGGAAGTCAGAAAAATCTGTTCAGGCAGGCAAGAACCAGGAGTTCTAGTCCAGACCCTGGGGGTTGGAGAACCTGGATGGATGTGTGGCATAAACTCACATGAAAATGGTAGCTCTCTTCTCCATGCACTATTTCCCTGCTTAGAAATGAGTGTTGTCTAAGTATGAACAAATCTTTTTCTCAGAGGCTGGGCTCTTTCTGACTTCCCTATTTCTTTGAAGTGTCGCTTCTTCAAGTTACCCTTCAAACCTTAGTCATCTCTGACTCCTCCCGTTTCTCTGACATACTGAAACAGTTGCTAAACTTCATGGATTTCTTCTTCACAATATGTCCTGCACTGGTTTTACTTCATTCCTGTTAGTTTTCACATATGTCACTTAAAGTCATATCTTGTGAGTAGTTAAGAATGTGAGTTTGAAGTTAGATAGAGCTGGGTTTGAGTCCTAGCTCTGCCACTTACTATCTGGTGCCACTGCTTAATCTCTTTGCTATTTAGTTACTTTATCTTTAAAATGGAAATAATAATTATGTTGATCTTAAAGAATTGTGAGAAGTAAATGAAAGAACATGTGTAAAATACTCAGTACAGTGCCTAACATATAGTAAGTGTTTAACGCATAATAGTAATTATGTTGTTCACTCTCCTTGTTCATACTTCTTCCTCCTAGCAGATTAATCCCCCTAAAGCCTGGCTCTGACATTGTCTCTTTCTTACCCTGAAAGAGAAGCACCGTCACAGGGTTGTTGAAAGTTGGCCTCTGCAGCTGGACTGCCTGGGTTAGCATTTACTAGCTGTGTGATCTTAAGCATCTTGTTAACTTCTCTTTGTCCCAGTTTTCTTATCTGTAACACAAGGATAATAGTATCTACTTCAAAGGGCTACTATGAAATTCATATTATTAATAGTTAATATTTTAAAATGTTTATAATAGAAAAATGTTTTAAAATTTAAAACAAATTTAAATCGTTTGGAATCAATATTTATCAATGTTAGTGTTTGATAAATAAAAGCTTACATTGATTTCTTAAATATCTGCTATTTCGTGAATATGCTTAGTATTCGTCTGTATTCATTTACTTGGTCTTGTTGTTTCTCCCATGTAGAATACAGGGTGGATTACTGGAAAGGAAAGAGTACTTCTAGCCATGGGAGAGTAGTAGGTTGTACTTATATGCCAACTTTGATTTCTTAATAGTAACTACCTGGAGATCTCTGTTGCAAAAAATTCTGAGGCTTTGCATGTTTTCAGTGGGAAAGATTGACTAGTTGTGCTTCCCATGGGTCCTGAAGGAGAAGTGGAGACCTATCCTTACATTTTACCACACTAAAGAAGAATTTACAATGTTTTCATAATAAAGATAATTCATTTTTCAGAGTATAGATAAATTTTTTTTCTTTTCTTTTCTTTTTTTTTTTTT